GGTGCTCAGGCATGAAAATGTGCTGCTCAAACACTATACTTTTCTGCTCACACTGAAAAAAAATTAGAGGGAACATTGCTTGTGTGTTGTCGCAAACACTTTTCATCTGTATGACACATCTGTTTCTGCTGGCCTTCACTGTACCTTTAGCCAGACATAAAGGGAAATAAATGTGGATTTTAAATATTCAAACTATAATTTGATCTAATTGTCAAGAGAAAATTATGCATTGTTATTTATAGGGGAAATGCTACACAATTAATCTTGATCAGGACCCATCTGCAAGTGTATTCCAAATAAACTGTGTTAAAATATGATATATGGCATCATTGCCTAATTAAAACATCTGCTCAAACCCATGAACACTAATGGCTTACTCTGTAATCCCTGATCTTTGAACGAGTTGATTTACCAGAGAGACTTAATTACCTGCTGATGCTGCCACTGAAATGTAATATGTTTCCCCCAAAATAAGAGTTATTCAGGGAATCTAAAATTGTGGAAATTTGGAGACAGCAACTAATTATTTTTCCTGAAGTAGCAATACTTGTATCTTAGATTTCTTATTAACCATGGGAAACTTTTATTTCATTTTGCTCCTATGTGGAACTTCAAACATCTTGTGAAGTATCAGATAAAGATGCCCTTCAACTCCCTTCCATTAGCCAGTGACTGTATTAGGTTTTGCCATAGATTTAAGTCCCATACTGGCATGAAACCTAGTATGGTGATTGTCATAAGTAATTACATGCTGTCACATACTACAGTGAAGTGGAAGCAACAATTGATTTTTTTTCCAAAGCCTTGTATACCTTTTTTGTTGTAGTTCTTGCTTAAAACATGTGTTCATTGACTACTTCTGGCACATCACATTTTTATGCATTGTAAATATCTGTCATTGTCCCTATATAGCCACTAGGGTTAATGAAATGAAGGTATGTGGCATCTTTCCAGACAGATCATAACTCAGAAATGATGTCATTCTTAAAATGACAAGAATAAAGAATGTAACCAAAGAGGTTTTCAGGGAAATGGAATGGTACGAATGGTAATTTAGAAAATTTTGGCACTGGTGAGTTCAATGAAACACACACAATTTTTATTAAAGAAGCTTGTCCGCAGAGTAAAAACCAGAGGTGGGTTCCTACCAGTTCGCACCTATTCGGTAGAACCGGTTCCTCAAATCTACCGAACGGGTTAGAAGAGGTTCCACCAGTGGACCAGGAAAGCAGGCCACACCTACAGAAGAGGTTCCAAAAATTTTTGAAACCCACCACTGGTCCTTGGATA